TTCTTTGGTGCTAAGAACCAACTCAAGGAGTTCTCCACATTTTTAAAAAATAAGGAAACGTCTAACTCAATCCAAAATTTTCTTGCTGCTTCTGAAATAAGTTGGAAATTTATCCCCCCTCGCTCTCCTCATCATGGCGGATTATGGGAAGCCGCCATTAAAAGCACAAAATATCATATGTTTAGACTGATAGGAAATTCTCAACTGACATTTGAAGAGTTCAGTACCGTACTCGCTCAAATTGAAGCTGTTCTGAACTCACGTCCTCTATGTTCTTTATCTAATGATCCTTCAGATCTCTCTTGTTTAACTCCAGGACACTTTTTAATCGGTAAGCCTCTCACTTCTTTTCCTGAAAGGGATGTTTCTGATATATCTGAAAATAGATTGTCAATTTGGCAAAGGAGTACAAAAATTCAACAGCTGTTTTGGAAACGCTGGACTGTTGACTATTTAAATAGATTACAGAATAGGCCCAAATGGACCACAACTAAGGAAAATTTGCAACTGAACGATTTGGTTCTCTTAAAGGATGAGAATAATCCTCCTTTGAAGTGGCCCCTGGCAAGAGTGATTGAAGTTTTTCCAGGAAACAATAAGAGAGTTAGAGTTGTCAAGGTACAAACTAAGGATGGAATCTTTACTCGCTCAATTGCAAAACTATGTCCCTTACCAGATTATAAACGTTAATGTTAATTAGTATAAGAATAGTTTTTAAGGTAGTGTTTGTTCGCGAGTGCGGTTAGTGTTTGTAGTGTCGTCTTACTTTTCGAACTTATGATGGAACAACCCTCTTTCTTAGTTTATATTATTAAGTATATATTATTTTCTTTCTGTAATTTTTGTTAAATCCTCTTAATTTTGAAGGGAACCCTTCAACGTGTGGGCAGGATGTTGTAACTTACAACAGTTAAAAATATTTTTAATGAAATGTACATTGTTTTTCAACTGCCCGGATGTTACCTGCTATGTCTATCTATCCTTTTTACCTGTTAAAATGCAGGTATTTACCCCGCTATGCCCCTCGAGGAGAACACATTTTTAGTCAGTCACCAAGTAACAGCGGTTGAGGGCGCATCGTATGGGGTTTTACCTTCGTTTACGCAAGACGCTCTAAAATTTGTATTACCAGCCTCATAGATAAGTAATTTTGTTAATGCTACTGTACTGTGTGCAATAGAATTTTGTAACCAACGTTGTAGTTATTTATCATAATTAGTGAACCAGCCCTGGAAAAACAGTAAAGTCTAAATTAAGTTTAGCTACGAACATAATACCTGTTCGTACTCTTTAAGTGTATATTAGCAAGGTTCATTGGCTAAGCTTTATACAGCCCTGAAGAAAATAAAAAAATAATCGAACCCCGGGCGAAGATGGAATAGTATCAGAACGCTACTATGATTCTATTACACAAAGCAGGAGACAAAGCAAATTTAGAGAATTACAGACCGATTAGCCTCCTCAGCCATATATATATATATATATATATATATATATATAAGTTGTTTACGCGAATACTAGTTAAGAGAATATAAAGAAAATTAGAGACTTATCAACCAAGGGAACAGGCAGGATTCCGAAAAAGTTACGGAACAAATGACCATCTACAAAGTATAAAAACCCTAATAGAGAAAGAAGTGGAATACAATAAACCTCTAGTTCTAATATTTATCGATTTTCACAAAGCCTTTGACACAGTTGAGATAAGCAAAATATTACAGGCGCTTAAAGAATACAGGCTAGATTATAGATATACTAAATTATTATACAAAATATACCTGCAGGCAACAACCACTGTCAAATTACATACTAACAGTAATCGCATAAAAATAGAACGGGGGGTTAGACAAGGAGACCCAATGTCACCTAAACTTTTTAATACGGTGCTAGAATATGCTTTTAAGAATTTGGATTGGATGACAAAGGGAATGAAAATTCTTCTTCTTCTTAAGGTGCCGTGCATTTCTGCGTAGGCGTCCACCGTACATCGTCTTGTCAGGTGAGATGTTAAATATTGTGGTTTAAATAATTCTGTTTTTAGCAGCATTGCGAAGCATTTCATAGCTGTGGATTCCTGTCCATTGTCGAATATTGCGCAGCCATGACATTTTTTTACGTCCGAGACCTCTCCTACCCTCTATTTTCCCTTCGAGAATCAGTTGCTAAAAAGTGTATCGTTTTATGACTGAAATAGATGGAGAATATCTAAACAACTTACGTTTCGCCGATGATATACTTATAATAGCCGAAGATCTAGGTATGGCAAGAGAGATGATACAGGAACTCGTTGTGGCTACAGAAAATGTAGGTTTAAATATAAATATCTCGAAAACAAAAATCATGACCAATTTGGTGCCCAACCAGAACATCAGTATTGGTGGGAAAGAAATAGAACGCGTAGATAGATATAAATACCTGGGACATGAAATTATGATTGGCAGAGATAACCAGACGCATGAACTGAAGAGAAGAGTAGGCCTTGGGTGGGCAGCATTTGGAAAACTGAGAGAAACTTTTAAAAGTGAGCTGCCCACATGCCTAAAAAGAAAGGTATTTGATCAGTGCGTCCTCCCAGTCTTGACGTCCGGAGCAGAAACACTTGCCTTAACAAAAGCAGCAGCTACCAAACTGAGAGTCACGCAGAGAAGAATGGAGCGGTCCATGTTAGGAATAACTCTCTGAGACAGAATAACAAACGAAGACATCAGAAGAAGAACCGGAGTGACTGACATCATTGAGAAGATAGCCAGACTAAAATGGAGATGGGCAGGACACATAGGCAAAATGACAGATAGGCGATGGACAAAGAGGTTATTGGAATGGAGGCCAAGGGAAGACAAGAGAAGCGTCGGTCGACCACCTACAAGATGGACTGACGATTTAAGAAGACTCAATAAAAACTGGATAAGAGCGGCGCAAGATAGACGGGGTTGGAAACATGAGGAAGAGGTCTATGTTCAGCAGTGGACTCTTGAGGCTGGATGATAAAGCTGGCTTTTAAAAAGCCAAAAACGGATGTATGTCACAAATGTGAAGTTTTGAAAATGGAGTTGACTATCGTTAATGATGAGGAAAACAAAAATACACTTAAAGAACAACAAACAAAGCATCATGAAGAAGCCGACTTAGCATATACTTGTAAAATTAAAGACAAAACATTAGCAATGGAAGACCACTCAGTGTTGTGCTATACATTTGACCTACAACAGTGTCTTCCGACACCTTATTTAGAAACATCGGTTTCATTTTACAAAAGAAAATATTGGACCTACAATCTTACAATACACAATTGTGTATTGCTTCGTGTTATTTATGGCACGAGTCGATGGCAATGAGAGGAGCAAACGAAATTGCTTCATGACTTTTTAAGGAGCTTATGAATTTACCACCAGAAGTGAAGAAAGTGATTTTGTACTCGGATACTTGCGGTTTACAAAATAAGAAATTCTACGTAGCAAGTATGTTCTTAACTGTTCTTCAAACAAAAAATTCCTTCGAGGAAATCGACCACAAATTTCTTGTGTCAGGCCACCCACACATGGAATGTGATGCGGATCATTCCGTAATCGAAAAACAAAAAAAAAAAGTGGTATGCAAATATCACATCCACATGATTGGGCGACACTAATACGATGCGCAAATAAAAAGAAACCTTTCTTGAAGTGCTTGAAATGTCACAAGATGATTTTTATGACTTTGCAGCCTTGTTGAAATGTGTCTTTGTAAAAAGAAAACAAGGTAGTGAAAAACGAAAATTTCTATCGCACGACTGCAAATGGCTCAGATACACAAAGGAACAGGGACTGATATATTATAAAAAATCACTTCAAGAGACAGAAGACTTTTCCATTCTGAATAGTGGCACTCTCTTTATCCAAAAAATATACAGAGCCACTTGCAATCTCCAAGGCCAAGAAAGATTATCTCTTGGAATTACTACCCCTTATTCCAGATGTGTACAAAAGCTTTTATGAACAACTAGTACATTCAAATGCAACTGCTGACGTTGACCCAAATTTAGAAGACCTAGATCCAGACGCTGAAAATCCTGACTTCGAAGAGATACATACGTAATAAACATTTGCAATGATGTATTTTACTTGTATTATTTTTTTCAGCGAATAAAACTTCATCCATTATTTTACGTTTTTGTATTTACCTGTGTTTCTATATGTTATTCGTTTACTACCATACTTATTATTATTTAATTATAATAACAGTATTTTCAATATTACTATACTTAATGGCGAGCATGTTAGTTCATATAGACTTAAGTCAGCAATCGCAATCAAAGTCAGATCCAGAGGACTTAAGTCAATCAAAAATCATCAATTGGAAAAGATATAACCTATTTTATTATTGTCTATAGGTTTGGTTAATATATCGTATTAGTATAAATATAAGTTTAATTTAAAAATGGATTTATACGACAAGAATGAAACCTTTAATAATTCCTCCTGAAAAACAACAGATTTAGACTTATGCCCTTTTTCCCCAACACTAGAGATATATACATATAACTTATAATTGTGTGTGTATTTTAACTATTGGTATTTTTTAATATGTTAGTTAAGTGTTATTTATATTTAAAATATTTATGTATGTTAGAAATTTATCTTAAAGGATTATTGTCACTGGACGGATCTCCCCTGTGTTAATTACGTGATAAACTTATTGGGTATGTTTTTTTTCTATTTGTAGAAACATATTACAATAAATAAAGGATGTAAAAAAATACTGTGCCTGTGATAATTAATTATTGAAAGACTGATTCCTTGCCTCTGACCGCCCGCCACTATTAAAAACATATTCTTTTTTATAAGAAAAAATTGGCAGTAGAGATAAAAGGAAAATTGACAACTTTCAGCTGCCTTATTCATAGTTAATTTATATAATATACACTTTCATTAATGAAACAGTATATAGAAAATCAACATTAATTACTGCGGCGTATATTTTAATGGAAGGAAACAAAACATCGCATTTACACTGAGTGTTATCAAAATTATATTTAAAACTTTATACATAAACAACTTTATTAACAAATAAAATATTTAATTACATATATTAATTCTGATAAATACATTAATTCTATGCTTTCTTTATAAATACTTCGCTTCCAACGCTGATAGTGCTTTCATCATCAGTGACGTTATCTTTATTCAGATAAATTCCAAAATTAATTTTTCCTTTAAACGTTTTGGATAAGGTAAGAAGTGGCTCTTTCGAAATACTACCAGTACATTGGTCAATACAGATCATTTGGCATCTCGTGCATTTACCTGCAAACTATAAAATTATATTAATTTAGAAATTCCTTTTTTTTCAATTAATTTTTTTCAAAAATGAACAAAAAAGAAGTAAAATGTGTGTATCGTTCACGGTATATAGGAAACGAAATAGATTTTTTACTATGTTCAATTGTTCATGTCGCTAAACAAACACACTATAGATTGATGATAGATGCCATACTTCTTTTGCAAACTTGTGTTAAAATAAACGTCACTTCTTACTACTTAGCCTAATCCATTTTTTGTGTTGAGGGTAGCTTAAGTACTAATACTACTAAAGTACAAACCATTTGTTTATAGATTTAAATAAAATCGAACAAAATAAAATTAAAATATAAAGTAATTGATGGATTCGACCGTAACCTGATGAAAATTCATTTTATGTAACAATAAAACACTGAAAACTTTGTTTCCAAACTTCCACAAAATTTATTTTAATCTCTTATCACTACAGCTTTTTTGGCGTTTACATGTAAATGCATGCTAAAAATAGATCACTTGAGAAAGGCAATCAGCCGAAACAGCTGTAGTGATAAGAGGTTAAAATAAATTTTGTAGAAATTTGAAAACAAAGTTTTCAGTGTTTTATTGTTACATAAAATATAAAGAAACATTTTATTTATGTACTGTTCCGTTCAAAAGTTAAGGGGGAAGGACTTTTAAAAACCGCACTGTATATGTTGGCAGTAACAAAACGTAGTGTTACGAACATGCTTTCGGCATGGCCCATGTAACGGTTGCATCTCGAAACGGCTTCGAGAACCATCCCCAGATCTCTCGAACGCAAGAGAACAATCGGTCACGTACGCGAATTAGAGGTGGGAACTTTCTAGAACATAGTAAGTTTGGTATATATATGTAACGATGTTAGGAATTAGTTTATTTGATAAGATAGTACCTAGCTGTAAAGTTATAAATACATATATTTATATAAATTCGAACCGCTCGTTTTATTTAATCTTGTTACAGTTGGTGTCAGGTGTGGGGTACCCATGAAACAGTACAATGTTGGTAGTCCTATGGAAAGAGTAGCAATGGACATTGCAGTTACACTTCCAGAGACGAATAATGGAAATAAATATATCCTGGTAGCTATGGATTATTTTACGAAATGGACTGAGGCCTACGCGATACCAAATCAAGAAGCTGCTACCGTTGCAGAGGTACTTGTTAAAGAATTCTTCAGCCGATTTGGTGTTCCTTTGGAGATCCACTTCGACCAAGGGCGAAACTTTGAGTCAACCCTTTTCCAAAACGTTTGTAAATTGATTATCCGAAAATAAAACTAATAATAAGTTGGAAAAAAAAGAAGTCATTGTATTTAATTTCGTGTTTCGTTTAGTTTCTTTTTCTGTCAATCGCCGTCACATCTGCTTAACTATCATCATCATCATTATTATCGTCACTGTCATCACTATCTCCGTTATTTATATTTATAATAATTGGTTCGATATCATTCAACAAATTGTCAATTTGCCACATTTTTTTTTCTGTTCCTGTTTTCATTTCTGTGAATATGCTATATACCGTTTCACTACACTCCAAACCATTTCGATGGGTTTGAGTTCACAGTGATAGGGTGGGGGCCTCAGAATCTTCACCTTGTGCTGTTTGGCAATATTTTCTATTATGTACCTGTCATATTTTGCTTTGAAGGCCTTGACTATATCAAGTAACTCGCATTTTAGGTAGTCTTTCTCAAAAAATAGGTCCTTTAACAGAAGCCATTCTTGAATATCTTTTTTTAGTGTTGAACTGTTGGGAATTTGTTCTGACTTTCTGCTATGATAGGAGGCATTGTCCATTACCACAACAGTTTTTTCTGGCAAATTTAGCATTAAGTTATTTTCGAACCAGTCTTCGAAGGTCGGTCCATCCATTTCGTCGTGATAGTCCTAAGTATTTTTCTTTGCCAAAAATGTGAGCTCTGCTCCATCTACAAATCCACTGGTAGATCCTGCGTGCAATAAAACAAACCGTGCACCACGAGCTGTTGGAGCTTTTAATCATGTTGTCAGACCACGAACAAAAGCATCACGATGAGATGTAATTGTTTTATCAACCTATTCTTTTTTAACACTGTGTCAGATATTTACCCATGATTCATCCAAATACACTATGTTGTATCCTTCTGCACGGTATTTACGAATTGCGCGTAAATATCGATGACGCCACGAGACTACTTCTGGTTTTTCAATCAAAATTGAATTTCTGCCACGTTTTATAAACACAAAATATCACTCATCAAGCGATGTAGCGTGGCCCGTGAAAAGTTGGGCAAAGTTTCTTCGACATTTACAACAGCTAATATGGTGTTTATTGTTGGTGGTATGTTGTCACAAACCAATTGATAAACTAGTCTACGAATTTGGCCGCGGACACCTTCATATTACTTGTTGTCACGAGAACTACCAACATTTCGCTTTTTGGGCCTGCTCTTTGGAGATTGTAATCCAGCAGATGATGAATATTTCTGTCGTATGCGAAACACAGTCTTTTTGAAAGCACCACTCATTTCTGACACTTTCCTAATTACACTTGATACACAATCATTGATATCCTTGATAAATATGATAATTAATAATATTCATCAGTATCTGCTTCTCTGAAAGTTTCAGAGCTTTTCCACGTTTCCATTGAACAATTTTCTCCATTTTGCGGTAAAAATTCGGCGTCAAATATGGCAATAGCCAACAACAGAAAATACCAATAATTGCCAACAGCAAATCACAACAATAGCCACAAGTATAGACACATTTCTAATATTGTAGGACAAACTGTTTCTATTGCAAATAATTGAATACGAAAATGAATGTCTAAAAAACATGTTGTATGTTTAGGTAAAGTGAGGGTATTCTTGTGTCTAAGATTAAGATTATGAACGTCAGTCCTGTAAGTTATTCGATTGTACAGGTATGGTGGAACTCTCTCTTGCATGATTTTATGGTAAAAACATAAAGCATGGAGTTTCCGACGATTTTTCATATTTAGCCACTTGACTAGGATGAAGATATGACTTATCCTTTGAAATTTATTGATGCCAAAAATCAAATGCAAACAAGAATTTCGCAATTTCTGTATTCTCCATGAATAAAATTCAGTGAGATACGCATTATAAAGCACGTCATAATAATTTAATTTTGATAAAACCAGAGCATTACATAATAATGACTTGACTACAGAATAATGGCTCTACTTAATAAATTACGGCTTTGGTACAGTAATTTTAAAACGGCGTAAGCTCTTTCTAAACAAACACTGACGTGATATGTACACCTTAAATCGTCGTCGAACCACTCCTAGGCTTTTAATCTTTTTGTTAAAAATTAAATTTTCATTTCCAAAGATAATTCCTAAGTATAGAATAATTTCCAAGAATATATCTCGCTAAATTGACAAAAAAAGCGAGAGTGAAAATCTATATTTGTTTTCACTGTTCATCCATAAGAAGATCCTATAATTTCATCTCTTTTGTTTGGTACTATTAAATGCCATAGACACGTTAAAATATTACCTAATCTGTACACACTTACCTTAAAAGGTACATTGTTTATTACAATGCACTCTACTTCATTTTCTTCAAAAGGTTTGCTTAAGCTAACCACAATATTAGGCCTAAATCTTAAAATGGTTGCTTCAAGATCTTCAGTTAGTTCTCCTTCGGGAACCTGATAGCGTAACCATTCTACACTTTTTGAATTTGTTAACAAATATTGAGCCTGGTTTGCAAAGGAGAGTTGATGACGAGATCCTGGAAAGTGTTTCAAACGATAATAATGTGTTTATTAAACTTTAAGTTTAAATAGCAGTTTTTTTTGTTAGACATATAACATTTGTCACTAAATGATATAATAGGGACTACGTTCTCAATTATCCCAAAGAAACTCAGAGAGAAAGAGTAGAGGAAGTGTGCCAAATATGGAATATGTCCCCATTATGGAATATCCTAAGGTTGAACAAATTAAAAGTGGCAACACTGGAACGATATCACCAGCTTGTAGCCACATGATACATTATCATGGTGTAGCTACTGTAGCCAGTGCCTGTAGCCCTGTAGACAGTCATCGTAAAACCGTTGAAAGTAACAGGTGTAAAATCGTAGTTATATTTGTTTTTACGCCGGCTCTAAAATTATTTAAGGTAAGTATCTTTCATTTTGATACACACTACTTAAAATAAGCATAGAAATATCCGATTATCAATTTAACATTAATATGTTGCATATACTTTCTGTTAAAACAAAATGCTAGAAATATTGGAAACAGCTGGATTGGACGATAAAGATCTACGAATAATTACAAATCTATACTGGCATCAAGTGGCAAGATGGCAAATAAATATAAAAAGAGGAGTGAGACAAAGCTGTATATTGTCGCCTTTACTTTTTAACTTATATTCGGAGGAAATATTTAAGGAAGCCTTAATGGAGACAACCAAAGGTATTATTGTGAATTGAGTAACCGTCAACAATATTAGATATGCCGACGATACCTTAGTGCTTGCTAATTGCGGAGAAGACCTTTAAAATCTAATGAACAAAATAAAACTTGTGATCAGTATGGATTAAAACTCAACGTTAAGAAAACTAAATATATGATAGTTAGCAAACAAAATTATATACATGATGACGGTATAAGTGTCGGAGATGCCACACTGGATAAAGTAGAGAAACTCGTGTATCTCGGCAGTAATATCAATGACAGCTGGGGTCCAACCGCAGAAATTAAAAGCCGAATAGAACAAGCCCGAGCTGCCTTTGTAAAAATGAGAAACGTACTTTGCAGTCACGATCTTAGCATTGACCTTAGAGTTCGAATGACATCTTGCTACATCTTTCCTCTCCTGCTGTATGAAGTGGAAGCGTGGACTCTAACTGAGGATATCCTTCAACGCTTGACAGCCTTTTAGATGGGGGTATACAGACGACTACTGAAAATAAGCTGGGTCAACAGAGTTAGAAATGAGGAAATCGTCCGTCAAGTAGCAGATTTATTGCTTTAGTGTGAGCACAGAATAAATAACAATCAGAATGCCCACTCTCAGATGCCGCCTTTGAAGTGTGTCAGCACGCGATCGCCATTTTTTAAACGGAAACATACTCTGATCTATGTCATAAAGACATATTTAAATAAATTAAACCGGGTTAATTTTTCTATGCACAACAGATAAAATTTCACTGAGCAGCACTGGTTCCATGTTAAAACATGGCAGCATGGTTAAAACATGGCTAATTCCGTGAGTGTGTGTATATGTGTGTATGTGTATGTGTGTGTATGTGTGTGTTTGTGTGTGTGTGTTCGAGACTACTTCTGGTTTTTCAATCAAAATTGAATTTCTGCCACGTTTTATAAACACAAAATATCACTCATCAAGCGATGTAGCGTGGCCCGTGAAAAGTTGGGCAAAGTTTCTTCGACATTTACAACAGCTAATATGGTGTTTATTGTTGGTGGTATGTTGTCACAAACCAATTGATAAACTAGTCTACGAATTTGGCCGCGGACACCTTCATATTACTTGTTGTCACGAGAACTACCAACATTTCGCTTTTTGGGCCTGCTCTTTGGAGATTGTAATCCAGCAGATGATGAATATTTCTGTCGTATGCGAAACACAGTCTTTTTGAAAGCACCACTCATTTCTGACACTTTCCTAATTACACTTGATACACAATCATTGATATCCTTGATAAATATGATAATTAATAATATTCATCAGTATCTGCTTCTCTGAAAGTTTCAGAGCTTTTCCACGTTTCCATTGAACAATTTTCTCCATTTTGCGGTAAAAATTCGGCGTCAAATATGGCAATAGCCAACAACAGAAAATACCAATAATTGCCAACAGCAAATCACAACAATAGCCACAAGTATAGACACATTTCTAATATTGTAGGACAAACTGTTTCTATTGCAAATAATTGAATACGAAAATAAATGTCTAAAAAACATGTTGTATGTTTAGGTAAAGTGAGGGTATTCTTGTGTCTAAGATTAAGATTATGAACGTCAGTCCTGTAAGTTATTCGATTGTACAGGTATGGTGGAACTCTCTCTTGCATGATTTTATGGTAAAAACATAAAGCATGGAGTTTCCGACGATTTTTCATATTTAGCCACTTGACTAGGATGAAGATATGACTTATCCTTTGAAATTTATTGATGCCAAAAATCAAATGCAAACAAGAATTTCGCAATTTCTGTATTCTCCATGAATAAAATTCGATATAGAACAAGCCCGAGCTGCCTTTGTAAAAATGAGAAACGTACTTTGCAGTCACGATCTTAGCATTGACCTTAGAGTTCGAATGACATCTTGCTACATCTTTCCTCTCCTGCTGTATGAAGTGGAAGCGTGGACTCTAACTGAGGATATCCTTCAACGCTTGACAGCCTTTTAGATGGGGGTATACAGACGACTACTGAAAATAAGCTGGGTCAACAGAGTTAGAAATGAGGAAATCGTCCGTCAAGTAGCAGATTTATTGCTTTAGTGTGAGCACAGAATAAATAACAATCAGAATGCCCACTCTCAGATGCCGCCTTTGAAGTGTGTCAGCACGCGATCGCCATTTTTTAAACGGAAACATATACTCTGATCTATGTCATAAAGACATATTTAAATAAATTAAACCGGGTTAATTTTTCTATGCACAACAGATAAAATTTCACTGTGCAGCACTGGTTCCATGTTAAAACATGGCAGCATGGTTAAAACATGGCTAATTCCGTGAGTGTGTGTATATGTGTGTATGTGTATGTGTGTGTATGTGTGTGTTTGTGTGTGTGTGTGTTTGTGTGTGTGTATGTGGGTGTTTTTTTGGGGTTGGAAATACTTTTATGTATCATTAGCACTAAATGTACAACATGGTATATCGTACTCGTATATTACAATGCACCGACTAAAATCCATCCACTTCTTCTGTCTCTGTTTTCTTCACGACACTACCGTTAGGTATTACTTCACGCTCATTACGAAGTCATTGCTTTTTTTCTTTAACAGTCTCTATTTTCAGTTCGTCTCATTTCAGCGCGGCAAAGAAGCTGAAGGACGTTAATCGCGAATGTGCTGATTGCGTCCCAAGTTGCCTTCGGTGAAAATATTTCTTCTACTTTGGTCTCTGATCGAATTTTCTATTTGATAACTGCTTCTAAAGTACTGCCCAACAAGTTGAAATAAGACACACAAAGATCAGGTGTTCCGCATCTTCACTGACTCCGTGACAGGATGGACACTCAGAAGAATCGTCATCGGTCAATCGTTTGCGGTTCAGTTAAAACTTTCACCTGTGGTATAAGACAATGTGTTCATCTACGTGTTGTTGCGGAATCCCACAGTAATTGCCATCGAGCAATGCTGTTTTGCCATTCTTTTCGAAGTTCATCTCAGCACAATGTAGATGTGGTTAACTCTCATTGCCGATAAAGAGTCTTCCTTTCTTCAGCTAGCACTCCGATGGGTAGCATCCTGGCTGTGAAGTATATTGCATCTTAAAATACTGTTCGGAAGGCGCTGGCAACTCTTAAAGCCCTCAGACAATATACTGATGTAACCTTCCTCCATGATTCTTGGATTTCGATGGTATCAGCCCAAATTGATATTCTGTATAAGGTTACTACTGGCGACAATAACGTCCTCCTGTTTTGTTTTGGGTGACCTGCATTTGGCATTAGCCATGACAAGGCTGCTCTTACCACAGACGCTTTAGCACTGCCATACTCTACTTGTACTTGAAGCTAACTCTGGCATCAATCAGCACTTCCAATTACCGAAGGAATGATCGTGACGTGATTTCATGTTCTCCAATGCTCATTGTTACAGTTTTCACCTGTTTTCGACTAGTAATGAGCACTGCCTTCATTATGAACTTCGCTAGTTTTGAATTAACTATATTCATTCACAGGCAAATTCTCTCGAAGATGATGTTGAATGTGAGATTTATTTCCTCAAGGTGCTTTGCGATAATCACCACAGCCATGTCAACTGCGTATGCCACGAGCCTAGCATCTCTTGGAAATTTTTAGCAAACCATCATACATAATAGTCCACAAGAGAGCCTAGCACAGAGCTATGTGGTACTCCTTCGGTGATTTTATTTTCTTACACAGGGCTAGACTTTGTGTCACACAGGGCCACACTTTGTGTCATACCTCAAAAGTCGATCAGTGAAGTAGCTAGTCGCTTTCCCTCTTAGATATGTAGTTAGTCTCATTTCGGTTAAATCTCGCATTATGCAATTCCAGTTGGCGGAATTGAAAGCATTTTTGATGTAAAATGTGGCCACTAGATAATACTTCTTCGTACTCCTCTTCCATCTGGTCCCTGCGATCGCCTCCTTAGCTGTCTTAATGACAAGATCAATCGCATCTAGTGTTGAGTGTCTTTTTCAAAAACCATACTGATTGCTGTTGAGCAGCGGTTCAACTTATGCTTCGATTCTTTGATAGATTATTCGTCCTAATATCTTGCCAGCTGTATCCAGCATACAGAGCGGACGATAAGATGATGGATCCTCTGGTGCTTTCTTTCCTTTTGGGAGAAGCAATATTTATTGCTTCCACATGTGCGAAAAGTACCCTCCTTGAGGCATGTATTGTAAACCTCCAGGAATATTCCCAGTGATTCTTTGATGGATGATTTTAAAGCGAGGTTTGGGATTCCATCTAAGCCCGAAGCTTTATTATTTCCTACTCTATTACACGCCTCTATCAGTTAATCTTCCGTGATCGGAGGGATTTCTTCAGCCTCGCACTCCTCGATTGGATAATAAAAGTTTTGTTTGGGGAATAGCGTAGTAATGACCTTCTCTAAGAGCTAAGGGCATGTAAGTTTCGGCATTGACATTGGTTTTTCAGGTTAGTCATTTTGGTGTTTGTATATGTGTGTTGTGTGGCTATAAGTGTGTATGTGTGTTTGTGTGTGTGTGTGTGTTTGTGTGTGTGTGTGTTTGTATGTGTGTGTTTGTGTGTGTGGTGTGTGTGTGTTTGTGTGTGTGTGTGTGTGTGTGTGTGTGTGTGTGTGTGTGTGTGTGTGTGTGTGTGTGTGTGTGTGTGTGTGTGTGTGTGTGTGTGTGTGTGTGTGTGTGTGTGTGTGTGTGTATGTGTGTGTGTGTGTGTGTGTTTGTGTGTGTGTGTGTTCGCGTGTGGGTATGTGTGTATAAGTGCAAGCAGGGTAATCTGTCCAAACTTAAATATTGTATAAAATATTACCTTCTTCTTTTGGTTCATATTGTCTTAACAATCTTAATCCAGATATTCCAAGGTTTTCCGACAGCCAGTCAGATACTTCATCTCCACAGTCCCATCCCACTACACGGTCTCCACAAACTTTACTTTGACATAAATATGTTTGTTCTTTATTCTTCGCTTCATCGATATCAATGTCGATGCTCGATTTATCTAAAATAAAATAATCTTTATTATTATTATTTACAGGTAACGTTTGTCACTCTATCTGTTTGCGGCTATCTGTCAATCTGATCGCGAAAATTATAAATTCTGGGAAACTATACAGCTGATTTTAACCTAGCTGGGTATACAGGATAATATCAAGCAAAAACAGATGTGCTCCCATTTTCGAAAGTATTTCATATGAAGTTTTAGAGTGCACCAAAGAATCTGAAAAAGTTCAGAAAGAGAGTTTTACTAACCACCAATCAACATGATTTTTTTTAGACTTAAAAAAAAATAAATTCATTTATAGAGTCATAAAATACTCATATTTTCGAAAGTATTTTTTATGGAGCCCTAGAGGGCACTAAAAAATCTAAAAAAAATAATAAAGGGAGTTCTATTGACCACCTGTCGCCAATAGTTCAATTCCGGCCTTACGAATGGTCAAATTTCAACCATAATTGCAGCCAATGGTATTATCCGAAATTGAGCATTGGCTGTTGAGCAAGCTCCAATGGCAGAGCGCCATGGAGCACTTGAACTATTTAATTTCGTATATGCATACCTGTACAACGGCCAAAAATTCGTTCTGGTCTGGACAGGGATCCGCAGAACCAGCCTTCTTGGCACTAGAGACCTTCTCGTAGATTTAGTTTCCAGAAACTCTGCTTTGAATTGCACCTAACCGTTCTCCTTTATTTAAGGATTTTTCCAAGTTCTTTAGCTTAGTATATTTTTTTATTTAAACTGTATTTATTTCAGCATTTTCGACTTAGAATATTTCCCGTGAAATATTTTATTTCGAAGTAAATCATATTTTTGACTTACGTCAGTAGTACGATTTCATATTTTTCTTCTATTTTCAGGATATTTTTCGACTTCATATTTCGAAGAATTTTGGTAAGATATTTATTTCCGATTTAATAACTTGCATTATTTGGTTATTTCTTTTAGGATTTTTCCATGTTCTTAAACGAACTAAATTTTCTTATCTAATTTATTTTGTTATTTTCAGGGAATTTTAACTTAGACTAATTTCGTAATTATTGCTATTTTTCTCTTTCAGATTTTTTTAAGTTTATAGAATTTAGAATAATTTCTCATATTTATTTATTTGGTATTTTTCTATGAATTTAGACTTGGAGTAATTTTTGTAAAATTATTTCTCTTTCAGATTTTGTTCCTGAACGGAACATGGAAGGATTTTTTTATAATATTTTTATAATATTTCTTTTAGCGAGTAAGAATAATTTCGTACAAATTATTTCTTTCAGATATATAAGTTCCCACAAATAACTTTCTACTATTTTATTTCTTTCAGGTATAAAATAACTTTAACTTTTTAAAGTTTTAATTAACATTTATTTGTATTTATTTAAAAAGGTATTTTAACTCTAGATTGTGGTCACGTACGACTTATATGTCCACGGACTGTGACCCTTACCTGCTCCGGTTCATTGTAGTTATGAATAGTGCTACTGGACCACCTTCCCTCTTTCCCGAGGTTCAGACCAGCGACACACCAATCAACATGATTTTCCTCAGATTTTTTAAGTGAGTAGATTCTTTTGCAGAAGCAATTGAAAAATGACTCAACAAGTTTATGGATTCAAATTAAAATTAAACTTAAAAAATTCACAATAATAATATTGATTTACTTTGCATACATTAAAATTTCCAAACCATTTGATTTAAAAAGCCTTTTTTAAACCAGTACGGCCCTAGACATACATAGGTATAGCATTCATAATATTAAACTTACCGTTATAGTTTAATTTTAAAGTATTCTTTTTCAGATTTATACTAGGTTTTATCAAACACAACTTCTTATTTTGTTTCTGCGTGAGACACACATCCGATGAGTTGACAATCATCCATTCTCTGTCAAATTTAAATCCTTTTTTTGTGACGATCCAATTTGTTTTAACTACAAACGCTCCACAGGATTTTACTGGATACAGTAAAATTTGATCCAAAATAGCTTTAGCGCTTTCAGTATTATGTGCCATTTGATTAATTTGCTTATCTTTCGTCTTCGGTAATATTTTAACAGGAATTTCTAAAATAATAATAAACACAATCTTATATATAGATTTTGGTATAATTATAATAACATTTATAATATATTGTAACGAGATTAAATAAAACGAGCAGTTCGAATTTATATAAATATATTTATTTATAAGTTTACAATTCGGTAATACCTTATCAACTAAAATTAACTTCTAGAAGGTATACTTATATATAAAAGTCACTATGTACTAGAACATTTTGGAGTAGCCCACCTCTAATTCGCCTATTTGACGGGTTGATCTCTCTCGCTCTCGAGACATCGCTGGAAACTTCAAGTCGCTTTCGAGATGCAACCTTTACAAGGGCCACGCCGAATGCATGTTCGTGACACTGCTCCCCTCTTAGATCTGAGCGTCCCGATCAGCTACTCTATTTGTAGGCCCAGGATGGCGGAATCTACAGGACTCTCCAGCTCTGCATGAACCCCTTAGAAAGAAATAACAGTGTAGTGTCTTTGAAGGATACGATCTCTTCGGATTAATGCAACACACAGTAATTCTTACGCCGGATTCTCGGAAGATCACTTCAAGCATGCTTCTGACAATCTTCCAATCCAGATTATCTAGTGCATGGCCTACCTTGGGCAAGGCCAAATTCTTGATGTAATTGCAGACGATTTTCTTCAAATTAGTTAGAGCACGCCATATATCCTCGTAAGTTGCCCTGTCTGTATACGACTTCCTGGTCACCATATACAGCAAATATCGAAGACCATCTGCTAATCTCAGTACTTTCCCAACTTTAGGCTGCTGATTTTTTAACTCGTCCAAACGACCGAAATTCTTATAAAATCGGATGAGATTCCTTTAGTCGTCTCAAGATCTTGGGCAATACAGTGGGCCAAAGAGAGTTTATGGAACACTAAAAAGATTCTGCTGAACTTCTGTGGTCACGCCGAATCTAGCACTATTCTTCTCTGCGTAATTTGACATAAATTCATTAAAGCTTGGTCGCCGCTCATTTTTGATCTCAGGTTGAAGGGTTCGGGCTTCTTCTGTTTCATTTGAGCCAGCATAAGATGCAAGACGATTTATGTGAATTACTTTTGGTTTACTTTTCGGCAACTTCCTAATTCGGTATATTACGTCATTTCTTCTCTTTTTAATTTCATACGGACCCTTTCATTGTCTTTGCAGGGGGGGGGGTACGTATTTAAACAAATACGTACAAACCAAAAGACATAAAAAAGATAAACTCCAACGATATAAAATACATAAATAATATTTTTTCTTTAATTATGGACCTTCTTGGAGAAGGATGGGAATTTCCACATTTTTCCTCTCTGTGTATCCACCCCTGGTCCCGTAGCGCCGTAATCACAAGAAGACCAGGGAAGTTTACTCAATTTTCTGCAGTTTGTTTGTTTTGATTCGATTAAGGATTGCCCAAATCTTAAGAAAACGTTCAAATCATTATGACTGAAAGTGAAACAGCAGATGAAGTTATGAACCTAAAAAATGAGAATGGAAGTGAATATAGCGAAGAATACAAAACAACACCGAAGTTATCAGAGGTAAGATCAGAAGGGACCAGGTGTTTTTTGAGTTTTCATGTGTTGCAATGCGTATTTTATTTTTGATTTTAGAATGCGTAAATTATTGTCAATAATTAAACGTCTCTGCTGACCCTGTCTAGATTTTGTATAGACGTTTTCCATGTGTCCTTTATTTCTTCTAATATTGTAGGATCATATTATGCATGCTTGGTAGTATGCCACACTGCCTATTATTTCTATTTGCAGTTAGTTAGTTAGTCTTCAGTAAGCATGTATGGTTTTGGTTCTTTCTTTTTATTTTGATTATTTTTAGTTTATTTTTAAATTTAATTACTATTTTCGTTGGGGGTCACCAGAGATTTTTCCTGATTTTTTCCTTATGAATTTCTTTGGAATCATTAACAGCAGAATTTTACTGTCCTCATTGCATGCAATTGTCTTTGTAAAGACGAATCAGATGCTACGATTTTTATGACGGATATTCTAGTTAAAGTTGATTTCATGTAATCGAATGAACTATCTTACAATAAAGTCGTCCCAAGTTTTAATAAATTCTATTGGTTAAAAATCGTAAAAGTTTCATATAAAAGTTAAATATACTTTAAATATGGGACATTTTCGATTTACATTCAGTCGTGGTTTTACTCTTACGGAGTAGCCGCAGGGCTCCTCGTTGGAGGACTCTGCAAAAAGTTTAAAAAGACTCTGAAGCTGAGTTTTTTTCTACTTAGAAATGGTTGTTTTATTCCTTACATTAAATAACCCTTAAGCATTTGTCTTTTTCAAGGCAATGCCCCTATAAAACGTCCAGCGGATAAGTATAATTTTATAAATACTTATCCCGCTCCGACGATAGGAGGCGCTTGTTTTTTTGAGCGCAACTTATGAAACCAGGGCTAAAGTTTGGAATTGCCACTCTCATTTCTTTTTCCAAGTTTATGTTTGACCTGTATTTGTTTTTAATGTCTGCAATTAATGAGAAAGTAAGCTCCAAAGTTCAAACAGTTTGTCGTTGTCGTATTGAAGCTTTAGGCTGGGATCACAGGACAATTCTGTCAGTTGTTCTTTCTCTGTTAAAAGTGTCAATGGTGTGGATGACAGAAAAGGGTTTCTGACCCAGTCGTGCTCCATATCTTCGGGAAAAGATATCATATTTTTTAAAGTGTTCGCTCAATGATAACATGTGTTGTATAAATCTATTTTTTAAAGAGGGCTCAAGGATTTCTATCGATTTTTCTTGTAGAGTACCTTGAAAAGTAGGGAAAAAGTAAATTTTTTGATCTTATAATTTTTTCTTTCATAAGAGCAACTTCTTCTGAAACCCAGTAATTTTATCTACCAATTGCAATTTATGAGTTTGTTTCCCTACAAAGAGTTATTAACATCAGTTAATTTGTTAAATATGTCACAGAGATATGCTAATTTTATTATAAACTCTGAATTAATAAAGTTTTGAGCATCATCATGTGATTCTGTACGTAGATACGTGTAAAATTCATTTCTTAATTCGTATACACATTCCAGTACGTTCTCTTTGGACAGCCAACGAGAGTTGCAATAATAAATTAAAGAGGTGAGTTCCGCCCCCATTTCTTCACAAAGTTTATGAAACAGTCTTGATTTCACGGTTCGTATTTTAATGTAGTTCATTAAAATGATGCTATCCACTTTAATGATGCTATCCATCACAATACTTAATTCAGGTGTAACGTTCTTTACTGATAAGGCCTCTCTATGTATGACAAAATGTGTCCATTTTACACTTGGAGCCTTGGTTTTGATAAGAGCTTGTACTGTCCATACCATACTGTCCAGACATCGCTTGGGTACCATCCGTACACACGCCTACACAGTCATCCCAGTTAATATTATTTTCAGTCATATATGAGTTTAAAATCTCAAATAAATCAGAAGCTTTACACATTCACATATTTTTCTGAAAATAACAAATCCTCACATATATTTGTTTCTTGTATGTACCGTACATAACATATCAATTGAGCATCATCATTACTATCAGTCGCCTAGTCCAGTTGAATGGCAAATAAACCTGAAAGTTTTCCCACAATTTGCTCATTAATATTTTCTACCATGTCGTGAATATGGTGACTAAGCCTGATGATTGAAAGAGGTACATTTTTTATTTCTTTAGCTGTCGATTCTCCAATCATCACTGTTATCATATCAACCGCTGCATGTAAGATTAGTTCCTCACCGATCGTATATGGTTTTTTACATTTGTTAACACTGTAAGGTACCATGTAAGAGGCGAGCAATGCTTTGGTTAAAATTGATGCTCTTGAAACCAAAACTGTGGTCTGATCTTTTAGCTCTCGCAATTTTCTTACAAAAAAGTCTCTTGGCTTACCTTGTAAATGACTGTCAGTTGATTACAAATGCCGTTTTAGATTATTAGGAAGCGTACTTTCAGCCGTCAACACTTTCTGACAAACAACACATTGCAGAAGTTCTACATTCCCTTTAGTAACGCAGGTAAATCCAAAATCCAAATATTTATACATAACACGCGCGACAGTAGGGAGCATGGGTGGAGGGAGCCGACCGATGAAGCAGAATGCGCCCGGCCGGCTCTCGAATTCCTTCAATTTCTATATAGTACCGATCGGGGAATGCATCTCGCGATCAAGAACGTGATCGTCGATAAGGATAAGAGGCACAGACGCAACTTGATAGTGAACCAATGCACATATATTAAATTCCTTTTGTTCGATGTTTCGCAAAATAGTGCAAACCATGGTAATCAACTTCAATTACCGGTAAGCCATACCTAGTTTTACCTGAACATATACATTGTTTTGATTGTTTAATACAATCATTTAAAATTTAATGATTATTTGCACCTATAAGTTAAAGTTCAGTCATCTCGCCAGGACTATAGAAGGAAATATAGTTGATGTTAATTTAATTATTATTAATTCTCGTAATTGTTTCATTGTTTGTTTAATTAGCCACACTGGGAAACTGGCGTATTAGGGGGAATCAAGGGTTGAGAAACGCTGCCTTAATTACTTTTCCATCTTTTATCTTATAATTGATCCGTTTTGATGTTGCTTTTAAAAAGTTGATCTTTGTCATCAAAATTATCAGTTATTATTTGTTATATGTTTATAATGTTATATATAATAAAATAACTTTATAAATTATTTGTTATCTATATATATATATATATATATATATATATATATATATTATATATATATATATATATATATATATATATATATATCGGAAAAAGGAGTGTATTGATCCTCATTTACAGTTTACTGTTGAACTTGAGGACACTACCACCAATAGTATACCCTTCCTCGACATGCGTGTCATCAGAATGGGAGATAACACCCTAACCACAAGTTGGTATAGAAAATCAATGGCCTCTAATAGGTTCCTTAACTACCATTCCTGTCATCCTATGAAATACAAACTAAACCTTATAAAAGCTTTAAGCTTTAGATTAAATAAATTGACACATCCAATTAATCGAAGGGAATCCTTTAAGTTATTGAGAAATATTCTAATAGAGAATTCATATCCTTCCTCTATCATCAATAAATACCTTTATTCGCATAGTTATGGATCCTCAATTTATGACATACCCGATGGTGACCAACTTATAAACATCTCTAATAATTCTATAAATAGCACTGTTCTGCATAATACCGATCTTGAGAATACTATCACGCATTACTCTTCCTTACCATATTTCCCTCAAGTTACTGAGAAGCTTATTAAATTGTATAAACAAAATAATATACCTGTTAAAATTGCTGTTAAGAATGCAAAAACTGTTAGAAATTTGTTCTCTAAAACTAAAACACCCTTGTCCACTTTGGAACAAGTGAACACAATTTATAAAATTCCATGCGCTAATTGCGATCTTTGTTACATTGGGCAATCTGGTAGATCATTGAAAGGTCGTCTCACTTCACATCGTAGTGACATTAACTTATCGAAACACACTTGTGCTCTAGCACAACATGCGATAAATACAAAACATGAAGTGGATTTTAATGAAGTTAAGATTCTTGCCACTGAACGCAATTTAGCTAAAAGACAGTTTTTGGAAATGTGTTCAATATTAAAACATCCTAATGCATTGAATAAGAGAACTGACATAAGTAACTTGAGCCAGATATATCATGCTTTAATTTTGCAGAATTAGGCTACTTAATCTTTTCACTACATTAATGTCATATTAGGTGTACTAGTTGAACTTTTTTCCACTTTTCATTAAACAATTTACATACATAAATAGAAATAAAATAAATAAATATATCAATTAAATAACTTAATTTCTTTACTTAATTTTACTATTACATATGCAACCCATATTGCATCTCATTACACTAAATTCTTTGATTAGAGTTTCAAATTATATACAAAATAATACAAACATTGTAATTGATTCATAGAATCCTTTACAAATCACAGCTCCAAGTATATTGAACCTTGGGCTGTTTGGAAATTATAATATCGTTAACCACCTGGCTATTTAACTTGCCACATGATTAACGTCATTACATTATTATGAGTTTGAATGAAAATCTCCGGTTTGTAAATTTGGGCCGGTTAGTGAGGAGAGTTGTGTTTACACTACCAACTTTTTTCACTGTTGTGTCCTTTACAACCTGGTAGTCATCCAGACTCAGTTATAAAATAAAAAAAATTAAATTAACCGCCCAAAATTCTGGGTTGGTATTTACACCTTGTTGATCTGTCAAAAGTAATTTTGACCTCAAGGTTGGCTGTCTTTTTGCGGTTTAGTTCGTTCCTGTTTCATCTAACGCCATTTTCACGGCGACTTCCATTGGGCTTTGATCGGTAACTTCATATTCACTATTTTGTAGAATTTTATTAATATTACTTATAATGCTACCTAAAGTTAAAATCAAAGTTTAATATCCATTAAATAGTTGGAGGTTATTTATGATTTTCTTGGTTCTTTCTCACTTATTAACATAAATAACATTGAATTTATTTTGGACCACATGGTCAATTGCTGTGCTAATTTTTGTACAAGTTCATATATGTTGTTAGTTGCTTAACTGTTTATACAAGATCAGCGTACTATGTCCATTTACTTAGTTTCATTCACATATTTGTTAATAACATTGACTGCTACATATCTTTTTAAGGTAACAATTAACATCGTTTCCATGATTGTGTGGTTCTCATATTGTAATAATTTTTTAGATGAACTGATGATGCTTTCAAAACTCGAAAGCGAAACGTCTTCAAAATAGATAAAGTAGCCTATCAACTTTGTCTTTTATTTCTCCACCTAGAGACCGATATAAGAACCCACCACTCGTCTGAGTGATCCTTATATATATATATATATATATATATATATATATATATATATATATATATATATATATATATATAAATATATATAATATATATATATATATATATATATATATATATATATATATATATATATATATATATATATATTGTAAAAACTATACTACGTAACTACGACCGTCAATTTATATTAATAAAGTATTCAACTAGTGAAATCCAGAGGTTTATTCGGTCAGTCAGGTTGGCAAAATAAAAAACAGAAGTCAACTACTTCATAAGTTTATAGAAGACGTTTCGCTTTATACTTCTAAAGCTTCATCAGTTCTCTAAAATACAAAGATGACATAGAGTTTATAAGAAATACGGATCTAATAATTTATTACTTACAGCTCAATATGTAGTATTAAAGATGTTATTGTATATGTACTTAAGTTTACTTATAATAAATTTAGAACTAACTTAAAAAAAATTTAACAGGAACATGCAAAGAATAGTATTCGCAGAAACGAAGATTTACAAAAACTTTAAACGTACATTTGGCTTCATTTAGAGATGGTTCTCCAATGAAGACAAACAAAACACTGATTTATTGCAATCTATGCTAAACGACCTGACGCGATACCGAAATTTTTTCAAGGGCCATATGTTCAACAAATTTCAAGGTTTGAGACAATTATGAACTTCTACGGGGGTCATTGAAAGAAGAGTTGGACGGGTGGATTTGTATGACGGAAAAATTTGATATGATTTTTTTTTGTAATTTATGTTTTAATGAAACTAGAGATCTGGGTTGATTATGTTATTGTTTTGAATGGAAAATAAGGCTATTTTAAATGATGAATATTGGTATTATTTATTTCGTAAAATGAGAGAGTGGTAAACCTGGTTCAAATTGTCGATGTCGGTTCTTTTGTTTATTGCAGATGGGTTTTTTAGGATCTCACACATTTCAATAAAGGAGCGTTTTTGATGATTATTTTGTTTCGCCAGTATGAATGATGTTTGGTGGAAATGGCGTGTTGTGCAAGGGCACAAGAAAGTTTGGAAAGTCTAATGTCGCTTTTATGTGAAGTTATACGCCCTAGAAGTGAACGACTGGTTTGGCCAATGTAGCAGGAATTGCATTCAGAACAGGGGATCTGATAGACAACATTAGTGTGCTCTAACAAGCTTAGTGGAGTTTTGGACTTGGAGAATATTTTTCCAATGGTTTTAGTGTTTTTTAGGGATATTTTGACGGGTAAGTTTTTGAATAGTTTAGTAAGCTTGTTCGTAATTTGTGGGAAATATGGAAGAGAAGCATATTTTGTGGCTGGTTTTGGGGTTAACGGGGAATTATCAGTCTGTAAGCTATTGGATATGGAGGCTAGTATTGCACCGTTAGGTGCTTCAGAAATAGAATGACCATAGCTTTTAGAGAAAAGATATCTGTTGATGACGGGTATGGGGTAAGAGTTATCAATGAGGATGGATTTGAGTAAATCCAAAGATTCCCTCTTGTACCGCGTAAGGGTCAACGTGTGTACTCTAAAGCTAAGAGCTTGTACAAGGTTATGTTTGTATCTAATTGGGTGTGTAGAGTGGTAATTTAAGAACCGGTTACTCGCCATTTCTTTCCTGTACCACGTAGTGCCCAATATGTTGCTATGTGTGCGTATGATTCGCATGTCCAAAAACGGTATGCTGTTATCAACCTCCAATTCATATGTAAATTGAAGGTGAGGATCAACGCTGTTGAAGACTGATAAGGTGCTTAAAATCTTATCAGGTGGTGTTGCTAGGATCAGGTCGTCGACATAACGCTTTACAAAGGGAACCTGGAAATATAAATTACTGATACTCTCATTGATAAGGTCGTCGAGTACAAAATTAACTAGAATGGGGGAGATGGACGATCCCATGGGAGTTCCAAAAATTTGACGATAGTATTTGTCATTAAAAATTAGAAAATTGGTGTCAAATGTCAGTTTTAATAATTTCGAGAATGTTTCCCACGATACTGGACTGTGTGGTATACCGTGTGGTATATAACTGTATATATATATATATATATATATATATATATATATATATATATATATACAACAAACAAATTTTATATATTTGTTTATATCGACAGTTAATAATATCCAGTATTTCTTATATATATATATATATATATATATATATATATATATATATATATATATATATATATATATATATATATATATATATATATATATATATATATTCTTTTGATTAATTATGTGAAGCTTTAACTTTAATTAGATGAACCCTTTCCTTTATAGCAAATAAACGAGGTTTTGAGTAAATCTTTAAATTAAAAGCAACTGAACTATAAATACTAACCTGACTCATTACCATTAAAGTCGTTGGAATAAAATAGGTTGAAATAGGTTTCCTTTAGGTACTTGTAACTGTACGGTATTTTTTGTACTATTGGTTGTGTTACAAAACAATCTTTAATGAGTTTTAAAAATTGGTCAGCATCTCTTTTGGTGGACATGTAACCAAATGATATTCTAATTGTTCCTGTAGGGTAACCATCGATTAGATCTCGCTGATCTCCACAAACATGACCTGCCTGAAAAAAGAAGTAAATAAAACGTAAACAAAATCGAAAAAACTTATTCGATTTAATGTAGAAAATGAACTTACATCGGAAGTAATAGTAACGTTGATATCTGACAGTAAGTTATATAGCTATACTCGACTGATCTTTAATTTAGTAATGAATAAAATCATAAAAGAAAATAAAAATGCAAAATAAGGAGAGCTAGACTGAAAATAAATAAAAATCTTTTATTATACAAACAACACAATCCTAATCTCATTGAACGGCAATAACGACAGGAAATGAAAAAAAACTTCACAAAAAAAAAACAACAACAAAGACATCTATTATAAAAAGAAATCTAAAATCAAATATCCAGTGGTTGGATCCTCCTCCTCAATCTTTTCTCCTTCGTAAGAATGTAGTGGCGTCATGTAATTTGTTTAACTATTTTTGTCCAATTATCTCTCTCCCGTGTGTGTTGTTTTGCTTCAGAGAATGAGTAACCAGTTATCTTCTTTATTTGGTCCGACCATCGTACTGGAGATCTTCCTCTGGATCTTTTACCCACCACGTTACCTTCAAGTATCATTCGCTCCATGTCTTCTTTTTTTCTAGTTATAGTCTAGCACAGACAGTTGCAGTGAAACTGATGACTCGTTCAGAAAACCAATGAGTAAGAAACGAAAAACAACTGGTCGAGTTAGGGATGTTATGAGAGGTTTGCGAGCAGCGTCTCACAAGCTTGGGCCAGATTGTTTGTGCAAAAGACTTAAATGCTTTCAGAATATACCAGAAGAGGGAAGTATAATCTGCTGGGAGATAGAGAAAAGCAAAACTCTTATTTGAATGGCCTCATTACAGTGTTGCCTACAGTTCAAAGATTACCTCGAAATGCAGATCCTAGATATAACGCAGCTTCATTTTCATACAGAGTTCGTTTGTTAAAAGACAATGTTGTATGTGATGTTCAAGTCTGCTCAAAAGCAGATATCGCTTCATGGTATTAGTGAGGATAAGGTTAGGTACATAAGGGGTGCTCTGCTTAGTGTTGGTAAATTTCCCACTAACTATCGTGGAAAACATTCAACAATACCTCACAAACTTTTACCAGAAACCAAACAAAACGTATTTACTTATTTGAAATATTTTAAAGGGAGAAAATCACACTATTCTTTAAAAGACACCAACAGAATTTACCGACCTGCTGAGGTAAATAGTTTAAAGCTACACTTGTTGTACATGTGACTCCTTTAAATCACAAATTTTAGGGCTTGAGGAGAAGCTTAAAAATGCCACTGAGAAAGGAGAAACAAGTCAGAATCTGCAAACAAAACAGACAGAAAGAGAGGTGAATCTTAAGATAGGGAAGCGTTTTTATACATTAAAAAAAATTTACCAAAAACGTTCCATGAAATCATTCACGATGGAATCTGTAACCATGAACTTTAAAAAAAAACCTACCGTGTCCTAATATTAAGACTAATGATGTCTACAATCGGCGCCAACTAAATTTTGTTAGTTTCAATATTCATGTACAGTTATATTAAAAAAAAGGGCACAAGTATTAGAAAGGGAAGTTAACGTCATCCTATTTGTGTAAAACCGGCTGGGATTTTTGGAGGTTATCAAATGTCATAAGTGATTAAAAATGCAACTCATAGACGTCAAAGACGTTTAATTTGATAGAAGGTTTAACGGTACGTACAATAAAAAATTAATATGCCTCGTCATTTAAGTGAGATTGAAAAGGCTCAAATAATTATGAAAATGGAAGAAAGATGGTCAATTCGTGCGCTAGCAAATTTCTATAATAGAAATTTGAAAACAATCTTCAGAATTAAGCAACGATGGGTCCAACAACAATCATTAAAAAAAAAGTTGGTTCAGGGCGTTCCAAAGTATCCACTCCTCAAAAAGATGCAGCTTTAGTCCAATTCTTAAGAGATAATCCATTTGCGACGTCAAAGGATTCATACGGGATTTCCTGGTGCCCAACCTACTGTAAGCAGAAGGATCAATGAATCTGAATTAAAAAACCGACCAGCTGCTAAAAAACCATTAGTAACTGTTGAACATCATCAAGCAAGAGTAATATTTGCACTAAACTATATTTACCGCAACCCACAATTTTCGAACAACGACATTTTTACTGATGAAAAGACTTTTCAGTCGACCTATAACGGTCAAATCCGTGTTTATCGTCCAGCCAATACTAGGTTTGAAGAACGATATATTCACTCTCATAATAAATCTGGACGTTTTTCTGTAAATGTATGGGGTTGGATTAGTATACATGGACCTGGTGTTTGTTGGCGATTAGAGGGAAGATTTACTGCCGACAATTACATTAACGTTTTGGAACACGTAATGCTCCCTTCTATTGAGCAATTGTATCCTAATAATACTTTTATATATCAACAAGATAATTGTTCAGTCCACACTGCCCATGCAGAAAGGAATTGTTATCAAACGCAAAACCTGGAAGTATTGCCATGGCCTGCGCACAGTCCAGATATAAATCCAATTGAAAACATTTGGAGCATAATTCTTAAAAAAATATATAAAAGAACTTTTATGCCACAAAATTCAGATCAATTGTGGGATACAATCTTAGAGTGCTGGGAAGATCTTGATCCAAATATGATATCTAATATAATTCAAAGTATGCCAAATAGACTAAATAAAGTTATAGAAGCACGGTTCTATCACCAAATACTAAATTCTATTTGTAACAGTCATTAAAATTATTCTTTATATAATTGTTGAATAAATGGTTTCGTCTAATTAATGCTCAACGCCAATGATTTATATTTTTAATAACCTGTGATATTTGATAACCTCCAAAAATCCCAGCCGGTTTTACACAAATAGGATGACGTTAACTTCTCTTTCTAATACTTGTACCCTTTTTTTAATATAACTGTACTTTCAACGCAGCAAGAAATTTTTGATAAGTATGATGTCCTTGAAAGTCCTTGAAAAAAACCTCCTTGCAAAAAATCAAAGCAAAATCAAGGCGCAGCCACTGTAGTAATTATCCCGTTACATTTGTACAATGGAAAACTTCCAATACCAGCTGCAAAATATCGCGACCTTCTTCATTTATCCCAGCATTTGGATAACCCCGAAGCAAAGCTTTTTTATCAAAATTTAACTGCTGACGCTGTTCAACAGGAAGAAAATGCTGACGAATACGCTGATGACCCCCTAATTGATGATGGAGAGAATTGACTTCAGACCGTTTTTTAATAGTTTGTTAGGTTTTACCCTGGTTTTTTACTGTAAAAATATTAACAAAATTATCAATAAATTAATTAAAACCTTTTCTATTCGTTTATTGTTTATTTTTTTAGCCTCCAGAGTTGAAAAAACAATAAAATGGTTGTTTTCTCGAAAATTACTTTTTTTTGACTAATAGGGTTTCCCCCCTGTGCCCTTTAATTTATCTTGTTTCACAAATCGAAGGCTTATCCAGAAGGAAATAAACTTGTTAAATTTGCATCACGTTTTTGTAAAAAGCATTAAAAAGTTTTTAACTATTTAAATTATATTTAGTTTGCATCATTTTTTATGAAGGCGTTGAGTTATAATTTTGGCTCCAAAAACGTTATTTTCAAAACTTTTTTGAGAGAAACCCCTTCTCCTCTCAGTGAATACTCTTAATTTACGTCTATATGTATTTATTATTGCTTATCTAACCATTTTTTTTTATTTCTCAAATCTACCAGCCCCTTGTTTTGATTCTGCGGATACTTCGATGTCTAATCTATGTCTAATCAGAGCTAAAATAGATGTCACGAATTACAACTAAAATTACCTTAAAATTTCGTATGACGTCAGGTGCTTCTAATTTTAAAAATCTCTGACAACCCCCGGGATTACAATGGCAGCCGGTTCTTAAATGAATTCCATGCAAATTAGCCATATGTAAAACCTAAAACAAATTTATCTTGTCACAAATGTTAAAAGTAATAAGTAAATGTAAATTAAAAAAGATATCTGATAATCATTTTGTATTATTTTTTATTTAGTAGAAGTGCTATGTAAATTTAAGAGAACAATCATTTAAATTTTTTCTGCATCATTTATGAGATTAGTGAAACCATTATGTGAATCGATAATTGTTTTGCTATAATTCTAGGTTTGTAATAATAACAGTGCGCCATTCTATTTTAATAATTTCATTCTGCTATTTATTTATGTTCTATGTATATCATTTTAATTTCAATAGTGGAATAAATTGTATAAAATATATGTAATTTGTCCAATTATTTACATAAAATATTACATTTCCTATCTATTATGTCACATAATTGACTATTTGTTGAAATTAATTTTCTAATTTATTTGTTATTCGACAAAAGTCAATAAAGCTTTCAATTTTAAAGTATTATTTTATATTTTTGCATTTAAAGACAAAGGTAATAATTACGAAGTGTAGCATATTTAGTATTTAGTAAATGAAGCTTGATATTTAGGCCAAATGAAGAACTAATTTAGTAATATATATATATATATATATATATATATATATTTAATAAATAAAATTATCGTAAATGAGCAAGAAATAAGAAAAGAATGGCAGCTGTATATATCAGAGTTGTTTGAAGATGACAGGAATATTATTGTCGAATTCTACCAAAACTGTACTGACGGCCCAGGAATTATGAAATGCGAAGTAGAACATGCTATAAATAATGCTAAAATTAGAAAAGCTTGTGGTCCAAATGATACACCAACTGAGTTGCTGAAACTAATAGAGAATGATAACATAAAAGTAGTAGTAAGACTTTTTAATTCAATATATAACACCGGAGTGATTCCCGCAGATTGGCTCAAATCCATCTTTATCGCAATACCTAATAAACACAATGCGAGAAAATGCTCAGACTATCGATTAATTAGCTTAATGAGCCAAACTCTTAAAATTTTTCTCAAAATACTTCACAAAAGAATTAGACGCAAATGCGAAGAAGATCTTGAAGATACCCAATTTGGTTTTAGATTTGCTATGGGAACCAGAGAGGCACTTTTTGCGCTAAACATCCTATTACAAAAATGCCGTGACCAAAGAAAATATGTATTTGCATGTTTCGTGGACTTTAAAAAGGCATTCGATAAAGTACAGCATGTAAAATTAATGCAAATACTGAAAAATATCGGAATAGATGACAAGGATATTCGTGTCATTAAAAATTTGTACTGGAATAAAACTGCTAACATAAAAATTGGAGATAACTACACCGATGAAATCCCCTTACAACGAAGAGTCAGACAAGGTTGCATTTTGTCGCCAACATTGTTCAATGTTTACTCGGACCAGCTATTTAAAAAGACACTTGAGAGACAACCATATGGAAAAAAATCAACGGGGATCTACTTAATGTGATTAAATATGCAGACGATACAGTAATTCTATCAGATAAGGTCTTCAAATTCTGCTTGATCGTATTCACGAGGTAGGAGAGGAAATGGGCATTAAAATAAACTCAAACAAAACCAAATTTTTAGTGTTTAGTCGTGACCCACATCCTGATGCAAAGCTTCAATTGAACGGAGTCAAGTTGAGAAAGTTCACAAAATGACATATTTGGGAACTGTGATAACGGACCAACTAGATCCAGACATAGAAATAAAACGTAGAATAGCAATGACTAAAACTACTTTTATGAAAATGAAGTCATTTCTTTGCAATAACCATCTCAGTTTAGAACTAAGGCAAAGAATGATTAAGTGTTACGTTTGGTCTGTACTTTTGTATAGTGCAGAAGTGTGGACGCTAAAAGTATCGATCATGAACAAAATTGAAGCATTGGAAATGTGGGTTCATAGACGAATGCTGAAGATACCTTGGACAACAAGAAAAACTAATGAAAAGTACTAAGGAGCGTCAACAAAGACAGAGAACTGCTTCTTCTTCTTCACGTGCCATCTCCGCTACGAAGGTTGGCTATCATCATGGCAATTTTGACCCTGGAGGCTGCCGCTCGGAACAATTGTATGGAAGTGCAAGCAAACCACTCCCTGAGGTTTCTCAACCACGACATTCTTCTCCTACCTATGCTGCGCCTACCTTCAATCTTTCCTTGCATAATTAGTTGTAACAGTTGATATTTATTCCCACGTGTAATATGTCCCAGGTATTGTAGTTTCCTCATTTTAACACTCAATACGACCTCCTTTTGTTTGTTCATCCTGTCTAATACAACTTGGTTAGTTATCTTATCCTTCCAGGAGATTTTTAACATTCTTCGGTACGCCCACATATCAAATGCCTCCAGCTTACCCATACATTGCTTATTTAGTGTCCACGCCTCCACCCCATACAACAGGACCGAGAAAACATAACATTTAAGCATTCGTATTTTCAGCTTTAGGCTTAGGTTACGGCTACACAACATTTGTTTCATATTGTTGAAAGGCACTGCGGGCTTTCTCTATTCTTATTCTTATTTCTCTGGTGTATTCGTTTGACTCGTTAATATTTGTTCCGAGGTAATTGTAATTTTGTACTCGTTCAATGAGATTCTGTCCTACATGTAAGTTGATATTATTGATACGTTTCTTTGTAATTATCATGAATTTGGTCTTCTTTGTATTTAGTGACAGACCAAATTCTTCACTTGCTTCTAACACTTTGTTTAGTAATCTCTGTAGGTCTTCAATATTTTCTGCTATGAGCGCGGTATCATCAGCATATCGGATATTGCAAATGGGGTGACCGTTGATCTTTATTCCGGCTTTTTCGTTCATAAGAGCTTTTTTAATAACTTCTTCCGCGTAGACATTGAACAAGGTTGGAGACAACACACAGCCCTGCCGAACACCTCTTTTGATCTGTATTCTATCTGATATCGAGCTGTTAATTCGTACTGTAGCTTCTTGTTTGTAGTATAGATTCCTTATCACTCGCATGTCCCTTGTATCAATATTTTTATTTTCCAGTATTTGCATCAGTGGCCTATGTTTTACTGTATCAAATGCTTTGTTATAGTCTAGGAAACACACAAATATGTCCTGATTTACGTCTAAGCATCGTTGTGTTAGAACATTAAAAGCAAACAGTGCCTCTCTAGTTCCTAGTCCGTCTCTAAAGCCAAATTGAGAGGGTCCGATGTCAACTTCCAATTTTTTATATATTCTCCGATGAATGATTTTTAAGAAGACCTTTAATATATGACACATGAGACTGATGGTGCGATGTTCCGAGCATTGTCTCGCATTAGACTTTTTGGGTATGGCTATTATTGTTGTTACTAGCCATTCATTAGGTATGATACCAGATTTGTAAATGCTGTTAAATAGTTCCACGATCTTTATTAAGTTGTTGCCTTTGATGAGTTTAATTATGTCTATTGGTAGTTCATCTGGGCCTGTAGCCTTCCCCGACCTCATTTCTTTAATCGTATATTCCACTTCATCTCTTGTTATTTCTGGTCCTGTGTCACTGTTTATGTATTCGTCATCTACATTGTCTCTTTGATCTTTAAACAGTTGTTCTATATACTGTTTCCAGACTCTTCATTTTTCTTCTGTGTCCATAATAATGTTTCCACTCTCGTCTACTAATATGTTGTGTCTGTTACTTTGTCTCCTCGTCAACTCTTTGATCTTCCGATGTGCATTAAAGCTGTCGTGTTTATTTTGTAGTTGTTCGATTTCTTCGCATTTTTCCCCGTACCAGTTTTCTTTAGCTGTGCGTATTTTTAGACGAATTTCTTTTTGTATCTCTTTATACTTCTGGTTCTTTTTGTTTTTCTGTTTTCTTCTTTCATCCATTAAGTTCAGTATCTCATCTGTCATCCATTCTTTTTTATATTCTTTACTTTTATGGAGGTGACTTATGCTTGGTTTCATTAACGCTGTTTTAATGTCTGTCCAATTCTCATTGATGTTAACTTTTGTGTTGTCTTTTATGGGTTGTATCTTTGTTACTGCTTCATCAATTTCTTGTATCATCTATTCTCTTACTTCTGGTTTTCGTAATTTGTTGATATCAACTGCTTTTTTGGGGGTTGTGCTATTAATTTTCTTTAGTTTTATTTTCATTCTTGCAACTAGTGGATTGTGATTAGATGATATATCTGCACCAGGGTATGTTTTAATTGACATTATGCTGTTTCTGTATCTTTCATTGATTAGTAGATAGTCTATTTGGTTTCTCACTATGTGATATTCTGTGTCTTGTGGAGATCTCCATGTGTATAAACGTCTTTTGGGTAGTTCGAAAAAGGTATTTGTAATTACCATTCTGTTTTCCTGGCAAAATTGTACCAGTCTTTCACCAGACTCGTTCCTATTCCCTAATCCAAAATTTCCTACCATATCATCTGTCCTTCCTTTCCCAACTTTAGCATTCAAATCACCCATTATTATTGTGATGTCCCTTTTTTTGGTCAGTTTCAATGCCGAGTCAATTTGTTCATAAAATGTTTCTATTTCATGTTCTTCTTTGTCCGCTGTTGGTGCGTATACTTGTATGATATTCATTTTTGTGATGTTTGTATTTATTTGTAACATCATAACACGATCGGACAAAGGTAGGAAGTTCAGGACATGACGAGATAGAGACTTTTTTAACATTATACCCACTCCATTACGATGTTGGGGATCTTGGTTACCGGAGTAGTAGATTATGTGATCTTTAATATGACAGCATCCATTTCCCGACCATCGGGTTTCGCTTATACCCAAAATGCTAATATTCATTCTTTGCATTTCTTGAATAACGTTGTGTGTTTTTCCTGGCTCATACATGCTGGTAGCGTTCCATGTTCCAATTTTCATTATTTCATTGGTAATATTTATATTTTGACAAGGTTTTAGCTGGTTGACGACCCGAAAAGCCTTGTCACTTTTCTTGCCGGATCTTGGCCTCCGATCTCCATGATCAGTAAGATTTTGTTGATTATTTATCATGCCATGATAACTATA